GCCCCCGCCTCGCCCTCGCCCGGCCTCGGCGGCCTGAGCGGTGAGGTGGGTCGTTCGGGCGCAGGCTCGCGCTTCGTCAACACCGCCGTCCCTGCTGCCGCCGCCGCAGCAGCTGCCTTCCCGAGCTTCAACCTGGGCGCCTTCTCTGGCGTCGCGGCTGCTGCCGCCGGCGCGGGCAACGAGAGCCCCAGCCGATTCGGCGCCTACTCGCCCAACAGCTTCGACGCCGCCGCCGGGGCGCGACGCGGCAGTCGACCGTCGTCGGGCTTCTTTGATGCCTTCAACCCGACCGCGGGCGCCAACGCGCAAGGGTCGCTCTTCCCCGCCGACAAGTACTCGATGGGCATGGCGGGCGGCGAGGAGCACGCCAAGCTCGGTGGGCTGGGCGCGCACGGTGGCGCGGCGGCGGCGGCGGCGGCGGCCAAGCATGCGCGCAAGGGCGAGCTGGATGCCACGACGCAGCTCGAGGAGCTGCAGGGCGACATCTTTGCGCTGTGCAAGGACCAGCACGGCTGCCGCTTCCTGCAGAAGAAGCTCGAGGAGAGCAATGGGGCGCACCGCGACATGATCTTCTCCGAGACGTTTAGCCACTTTGCCGAGCTGATGACGGATCCGTTTGGCAACTACCTCTGCCAAAAGATGCTCGAGTACTGCACGGACGAGCAGCGCAATCTGATCGTGGAGCTGGTGGCGCCCGAGTTGGTGACGATCTCGCTCAACATGCACGGCACGCGTGCGGTGCAAAAGATGATCGACTTTCTCTCGACGCCGCGCCAGATCCACTCGATCATCGTGGCGCTCTCGATGAACGTGGTGACGCTGATCAAGGATCTCAACGGCAACCATGTGGTGCAAAAGTGCCTCAACAGGCTGGGTGCGGAGGATAACCAGTTTATCTACAATGCCGTGGCGGCGCACTGTGTCGAGGTGGCGACGCACAGGCATGGATGCTGCGTGCTGCAGCGGTGCATTGACCATGCGAGCGAGAGCCAGCGGGTGCAGCTGGTGGCCGAGATCACGTACAATGCGCTGACGCTGGTGCAGGATCCGTTTGGCAACTACGTGGTGCAGTACGTGCTAGACCTGAGCATCGCGCGGTTTACGGATGCGGTGGTGCGCCAGTTTGTGGGCAACGTGTGTCTGCTGTCGGTGCAGAAGTTCAGCAGCAACGTCATGGAGAAGTGCATCCGCGTCTCGGAACCGGGAGTGCGCAAACAGCTTATCGAGGAGCTGCTCAACCGCGCGCGGCTGGAGAAGCTGCTGCGCGACTCGTATGCCAACTATGTGGTGCAGACGAGCTTGGACTATGCCGACCCGGTGCAGAGGATGCGATTGGTGGAGTGCATCCGGCCGATTCTGCCGGTGATCCGCAATACGCCGTATGGCAAGCGGATCCAGAGCAAGCTGCAGCGCGACAATCTGGACCTGGGTCCGCCCAACGGCGTGCCGTACTCGGTGCTGGCGGCGCATCAGCAGCAGATGCACATGGGCGGGGCGGGTGGATACCGTGGCGGTGGAGGTGGGTACATGGGTATGAATGCCTATCCTGGACCGGGACAGGGTGGCATGCCGCCGCACATGCACCCGCATGCCCCGCAGCACGTGTACGGCGCTCCTGGTGGTAGCCCGCACATGCGTCCTCCCCCCGCAGGTGGTGGCCACAACCTGCCCCCGCCGCACTTTGGCCAGGCCACCTACGGGTTCAACGCCAACCTGCCGCCGCCTATGGGCATGCAGCACGCCGCCAGCAGAGGCACCGGTTCCGGACCCTACAACAACACCGGCTTCGGCAACTACTAGCCTTTCCTTCTCATTTGTACCATGATCTTCTCGACCCGTCCTTTGTCGAGCGCGCCTGATCACCTTCGTAAGGGAGGTGGGATGGTTGCGTCGCTGTCACACTATCTATCATGCTGTTCTATATACATTGGTTCGGTCATTGCTGTGTGGGAAAGGATGGTTGGGGGCAATGTTTGCGTGTGGGTTGGGTGGCTTAGTTTTTTGTTGCTATAATTGTTAGATTGGGACCGAGTGGGGCTTGGATGCAAGGGCGCATAGGCGAGGCACCGGCGCGCGCCGAGGCGAAACTGTGGCGACAATCGAGCGCTGGCTGCGGACGTGCAGCGGCCTTGCTCGCGCTCGATCGGACAGCAGGAGCACAATCGAGGCGATGTTGGAGCAAGGATTGAGGTTGAGGCAAGATGTTGATGGCAGGGATGAGGCTGGAGGATGGGGGGTGCGAATCGTAGGGCGGGCTTGGCGTTGGGGGTGTTGGATTTGGATTGGCGGGTGTGGCCAGGGCGGGAGGGTGAGCCGCAGTGCAGCAGCCTGGCACCACACCTCAGCACTGCACAGCAGCCCAGAGCAGGCGGAGGGCGGTCCCGTGTTGGCCGGCTGCCGACTGGGCCCCGCTCTCGCTCAACCACCACAACGACCACCACCACCCCCTCCTCCTCCTTCTGCTTCATATACAGCGTCTGGGGCGTTGCTCATGCGCGCGTGACAAGTCGGCATGACGCGCTCGCCTGCCCCCGCATCGGCGGGGCCACCAATACGTCTACGACACCCGCTGCCACCACCCCCACACCTCTCCTCCCGCCCACGATCCAAAGAGGCGCGCTCGAGCTATGCCTCTACCTCGGCATCGGCTTCGCCAGAGTTCTTTTCGACGTCCAACGCCACCTCGCCCTACTATACAAGCTCGCATCCGAGTCCGGCATCGACGAGTTCCGGTAGCAGTCTGCGCACCCCACCCGACCTGCTGGTGAATGGGAGCAGCGTCGGCCATGCGGTGGGCAAGGCGGTGCCCGCGGTCAACTCGTGGAATGGCAGGGCGCTCAAGCCGCGTCAGGAGCGCAAACTCAACGCCGACGAGATTCGACGCCGCAAGAGGCTGTTGTGCGACCTGCCCCAGCTCGAGCTCTTCCAACTCCCAAGTCCTCCGCCCAGCCCCAAACCTGCCGCGGCAGCGACAAAGCGCCCGCGAGAGGATGACAGGGCGATGGGTAGACATGGGTCGTGGTCCCCAACCACAATGACCCAGCTTGCAGCGGCGTACCGCTCAGCGGCGAGGGAGCTCAAACATGCGGCGGATCCGAGGGCGGCAAGTGCATCCGCATCGCGGCCCTCGTACGTCGCAGCCAGGCCCACCGAGGTGTCGGCACTGCAGCAGCTGGATGCGGTGCTGCTCTTCTGCCATGCATTCTGGCTGGACGACCTTGCGTCGCCGCGGTGTGTGGCCAAGAACTGGATCTCGCTCTTTGGGCTGCTGCGGTATGCGACGAATGCGCACGCGGATCTGGGCAACGACGTGCTCCTCGGCGTGTGCAGGCTGGTCGAAGCCGCGGTGCTGCGCAAACTGCACAGGCACGACTCGACAATGCTGCTCCGGGATATCGCCTCCGCCGACGTGGACGAAATCAAGGCGGCGGTAGAGCGCCAGACGGCAGACCTCGAAAGAGCGGATAGGCTAGCGGCGCAGGCGAGGAATCTGCTCGCCGTGCCGAATCTTGCGGCGTATCCAGAGCTGTGCAAGACTGCACTGGCAAGTACAGTGCCGAATACCGAAGTGGCCGCAAGGGGCGTGGATCCAAGCACGCCAGCAAAGTGCGCATTCGCGTGGCCACTCGACTGCATCACGCCCATGCCCTTGATCGTCGCGTTTGGCAGAGCCGCCGTGGCGGAACACGCCCAGACGGCAAATAGCCACTACGACCCCGTCAAGGTTGCAACAACCTAAACCCCCCCCCCCC